AACAAACACCACCGGCGACATGTGTAGAGCATCTTTATAATCACCCAATAACGTTGTGACGTTTGATAGCACACTAAGTGTTCCTCCGATATTCGCAAGTTGCATAATCTCATAGTCATAGGAACATGTATAAGTTATGAAGAAAGCAATAGCAACAAACTAAACGATCATCGTGCTAAGCTAACGGATGGGTCAAGTCAATCACATCATTCTCTAATGATGTGATCCCGTTCATCAAATGACGACTCTTGTCCATGGCTAGGAAACTTAACCATCTTTGATCAATGAGCTAGTCAAGTAGAGGCATACTAGTGACACTCTGTTTGTCTATGTATTCACACATGCACTAAGTTTCCGGTTAATACAATTCTCATGAATAATAAACATTTATCATGATATAAGGAAATATAAATAACAGCTTTATTATTGCCTCTAGGGCATATTTCCTTCAGATAGAACATCACTTAGACTTTATTGCACTTTTGGAAACAGAACGAGATAATTTCACATCACAGTTTCTTCAAACTCTCCAGTGGTATCGATTTTGACTGGCACATCTTACCTCCTAGAGAAAGATCCGGTGGGATTTTACTAGGAGGGCGGTGTGAGACGCTAGAGGTGCTTAATGTGGTTAGGGGAGACTTTTCGATTAAATTTAGGGTGAGATCAAAACTGGATGGGTCCCGGTGGTCTCTTGTAGCTGTATATGGGGTAGCACAACCTGAATTTAAACCAGACTTTTTGGCCGATTCAGTGCGGATTTGTGGAGATGAGAATCTGCCAATACTAGTCGAGGGGGGGGGGTTAATATAATCAGGAGGAGAGATGAAAAGAACAATGACAATTTTGATGGAGGTTGGTCTATGATGTTTAACATGATTATCGAGAGTCTTAATTTGAGAGAAACAGAACTCACACAGTAGACAATTTACATGGGCCAACTCGTTACCCATTCCGACTTATGAAAAGTTGGATAGGGTACTTGCTAGTGTGGAGTGGGAACAAAAGTATATGTTGGTGTCAGTCCATGCGATGGAGAGAGCAATCTCGGATCATACACCACTTCTATTAGACTCGGGTGAGGCTACCCATGTGGCAAATAAAAATACCTTCTCCTTCGAACAAAGCTGGTTCAAGAGAGAAGGATTTTTGGAGATCATTGCACGCGAATGGGCTAAGCCGGTTAGTGGAAGGACGCATGTTGAGAGATGGCAAAATAAAATTAGACATCTCCGACAGTTTTTGAGAGGTTGGGCCAGAAATGAGAGTGGGATTTACAAACAAGAAAAAGAGTGTCTTACTCAATTAATTGAGGCACTAGACTTAAAGGCTGAAGACACTCTTCTTTCTGTTAATGAGCAAAGAACCAAGTCCGAGGCTGAGCAAGGTGTACGAGCTCTCTTGAGAGAGGAGGAGCTCAAGTGGGCATTGCGTGCTAAAATGCTTAAGGTTGTCCAAGGGGACGACAACACACAATTCTTCCATATGGGTGCAAATGGTAAACATAGGAAGAAGAAAATCATACAACTTGAACAGGATGAGGGGACAATAGTGGGACATGAAAATCTGAAAGCATATATCTCTAATTATTATAAGCAACTTTTTGGACCCCCGAATACAAGTACGGTAACACTCGATGAATCTGTGATTGATGATATACCTCAATTACAGGCAGCGGAGAATGATATTCTCTCTGCACCGTTTACTGAAAAAGAGGTTCTTCAGGCAATATCACAAATGAAGCAGAATAAAGCACCGGGACCAGATGGGTTTCCAGCTGAATTCTATAAGAAATGTTGGCATATTATTAAAGATGATCTTATGCCTATGTTTCACGATTTTTTCAACGGTCATTTAGAGTTGTTTCACCTTAACTTCGATACGATAACGCTACTACCTAAGAAAGATGAGGCAATTCGAATCGAACAATTCCGGCCCATATGTTTGCAGAATGTGAGTTTCAAAATTTTCACAAAGGTTGGAACCAATAGATTGACACAAATTGCTCATTCAATGATCCAACCAAGCCAGACAGCGTTCATGCCGGGGCGACACATACTGGAAGGGGTGGTCGTCCTGCATGAAACGCTTCATGAGATCCACTCGAAGAAATTGGATGGGGTTATCTTCAAAGTGGATTTTGAGAAGGTGTATGATAAAGTAAAGTGGCCTTTTCTTCAGCAGGCAATGCGCATGAAAGGTTTTAGTGAAGCCTATAGGAACCAAGTGGATACCCAAGTTCAGAAGGGTAGTGTCGGAATCAAGGTGAACAATGATATCGGTCACTATTTTCAGACACATACGGGGTTGCGACAAGGGGATTCCATGTCTCCTCTTCTGTTCAATATTGTGGCAGATATGTTGGCCGTCATTATTGGCAGGGCCAAGCAGCATGGCCATGTAGAGGGGCTAGTTCCTCATCTAGTCGATGGAGGGGTATCCATTCTACAGTATGCTGATGACACTATCCTATTCATGGAACATGACATGGCTAAGGCACGCAATATGAAACTTATCTTATGTCTCTTCGAACAATTGTCTGGCTTAAAAATTAATTTTCATAAGAGCGAGTTGTTCTGCTTTGGGAAAGCCAAAAACGAGGAACACACTTATAGACAATTGTTCGGATGTGAATTAGGTGCTTTACCATTCAGTTACTTGGGTATACCGATCCATCACCGTAAGCTGTCTAATAAAGAATGGAAGTGTATTGAAGAATGCATTGAAAAAAAACTTAGCTGCTGGAAGGGCAAGCTTATGTCATATGGAGGTCGGCTAGTCCTGATTAACTCAGTGTCAACTAGTATGCCGATGTTTCTACTTTCGTTCTTCGAAATTCCGAAAGGGGTTCGGAAGCGACTTGATTTCTTTAGATCTCGATTCTTCTGGCAGTCTGATAAGGCCAAGAGGAAATACCGTCTCGCGCGATGGGATATCCTTTGCCGACCTAAAGACCAAGGGGGTCTCGGTATTGAGAACTTAGAAATTAAGAATAAATGTCTTATGAGCAAATGTTTATACAGTCTAGAGACAGAGCCGGAGGGTATGTGGTCACAAATCCTGCGCAATAAGTATTTACACTCGAAAACACTAACCCAGGTTACCATGAGACCGACTGACTCGCCATTCTGGAAGGGACTTATGAGAACGAAGGAATTGTTCTTTCGTAGGGTCAAATTCTTGGTTGGCAATGGGATGTCAACAAGATTTTGGGAGGATACGTGGTTGGGAGAGACGCCCCTGGCCATCCAATATCCTACCCTTTATAATATTATGCAACGTAAGGAGGATTACGTAGGCACAGTCCTTCAAACTATTCCCTTGAACATCCAGTTCAGACGTGTGTTAGTTGGTGGGAGATGGACTGCCTGGATGCATTTGGTTCGGAGACTGATAGAAGTTCAAATCCGACCAGCCGGATTTGACACAATGAAAGTTAACTAAGAATGGGATTTTTACGGTGAAATCATTCTATATGGATTTGATTAATTCTGGCCCCCTCTTAAGGTTGTTGCACATCTGGAAGGTTAATGTTCCTTTGCGGATTAAAATCTTTATGTGGTTTGTCCACAAGCAAGTGATACTCACAAAGAACAACTTAATTAAAAGGTGATGGCTAGGAAGTTCGTGGTGATGTTTTTGTGATCATGATGAAACAATACAACACTTATTTCTTCAATGCCCACTTGTCAAGCTACTTTGGAGAACAATTCATATAGCTTTCAACATTAATCCTCCAGTCGATATTGCGTCATTGTTCGGACATGGTTAGCTGGGGTTGAACAGATTACTGCGGCTCGTATCCGGATTGGAATATGTGCGCTATTATGGGCTATATAGAACTGTAGGAATGATATGATTTTTAACAGACAACACACTTTAACTTTCTTGCAGGTCATCTTCAGAAGTACAGCTTGAATCCGTACGTGGTCCTTACTCACTCCTATGGACTCCAGAAAGCCTTTGATTATTGGGTGCAACCAATGGAAGATGGTAGCTCGGGTTATCTTCAACCGATTCGGATGGCGCTCGCATAACAGGATAGAAGTCTAGAGAGCTTATCCTTCTTATTACCGTATCGGTTGCCTTTGTCAGCATGTAATTATCCTTTTTTACTTTGCTCTACTCCGTTTGCGGGCTGTAAGACTTTTATAACGATACTTTATGAATTTTTAATAAGATGGCTGCATACATCATCATGATGCAGAGACCGAGGGCATACCTTCATTTTCAAAAAAAAATGAACAGAGGCTGTTTGAATTCCTCGAAACTGTCATGACTCTGCGTACATTAGATATTTTACCAAAATCTCAAATAAACTCAAGACGCTGGTCCCTAATTGAAATGAAAATTTGAACGCGTTTCTTTCTTTCTTTCCACTAAGCGATTCATCACAAGCTGTAAAAACAGGTGATTCTTCCTATTTTTACAGAAAATTATAGGAAACTATTTATGAAAAAAATCCTATAATAACAAACTCAAAACCAGTCTCAACCGTAGACTGAGAAGGCAAATTTCTCCGTTTTCTGATGCAGCCTAGCAATTTTGCTCTGTTCTGCTTGCCCGCGCCCCACCGAGTCCTGACCTGACAACCTCTGCTGTCGTTATCTGTCTCAACACACAAGGACGAGAGTGGGCTCAAGAAGCTTTCTCCACAGCATCGCTCTGGCCATTTCCTCCGTTAACTAATCTGTTCCGCTTCTGTCGCTTCGACGCCACGGGAGGGAATCCCCGCCGCCAATCCGGTAGCTGAGGAATCCTGGGTCCTCCCCAGCGAAATTCGTGGCGGACCTGATCTCAGCTCGAAGATCTGTAGTAGCGCTCTCTGTATCTCCCGCCGCCGCGCGTTGAAATTCATGGTTGTTCTTCAAGCTCCGGCTCTCGAGGCATTCTGATTCGGAAATCGCTTCTTCCTGGAGTCATAGGAATCAGCTATTCCGCAAAGATTGTGCTTTTCACTTCTGTTGGATTCTTCCGTTAGAGCGGCGGCCTCTCCGGAGATGACGACCGGGGCCGTCACGGAGAGCTTCCCGGAGAGCAGCGAGCCGCTGCTCCCGACGAAGCGGCGATGGGAGGGAGAGGACGGCGGCGGCGACGAGGCCGCCTTCCACGAGTTCAACGGCGCCTCCTTCGCCGGCGCGGTGTTCAACCTGTCCACCACCATCGTCGGCGCCGGCATCATGGCGCTGCCGGCGACCATGAAGGTGCTCGGCCTCGTCCCTGGGCTGGTCATGATCGTGCTCGCCGCCTTCCTCACCGACGCCTCCGTCGAGCTGCTCATGCGGTTCAGCCGCGTCGTCGGCGCGCCGTCCTACGGCGCCGTCATGGGGGACGCCTTCGGGTGGTGGGGAAGGAGGCTGCTCCAGGTCTGCGTCGTGGTCAACAACGTCGGGGTCATGATCGTGTACATGATTATTATAGGTAAAATCATCTCAGCCATGCTGTCTCGGTGTTATTTATTCAGTCTGGTGTTCGTTTGCTTGTGTACAGGCTGAATCTTCTAGCGGTTTTGGAATCTTATTTGGACTTAGTACTCCATTGGGTAGCTAATACACCACTATCAGGCTGAAACCATCAGTATAGCTTTTAGCAGTACCATTTTGGGCAGTAACTATTACACCACTATTGGTTGCTCCGTTGCTGCATGCAGAGTAGCTTATGAGTTCTGATGTGGTAACTTTCTTTTTTAGGGAAACAGCAGGACTCTGCTGCGTATTTCTATTGATTTTCAAAAAATAGGGCACAAACGAAATGGTTCAGGCGAAACAAAAAAAGAACTATACATAGAGTAAATACAATAACAAAAAAGAAGGAAAAGATCCCCC